GGAGCATCTGCACATTGCAGAGAAGGTGAAGGGAAAAACACCCTGTAGTGAACTGCAATTATCTGAATATGCATTGTCCCTTGCTGTTTTGTGTCTGCATGCACGTGTGTATGTGTGTAAGTACATGTATACGTGCGCATGCATGCACACAGATTTCATTTGACACTGAACACAGAGCTATTGCCTTGTATTCCAGGATAATTCTTCTTCCAAAACTTGGCATGTATGCACACAGGGGTTGCCTTCTACTTGAGATCACAAAGCAAGCCAGGGGGCCCAGCCTTCTGCAGTGGCAACCCAGTGTTGGGACCCCCCACCACGTATCTATCAAGGAGGAGCAGTGGTTATAGAGTCCAGACGCTACAACTCTTCAACATCAAACATAGGGCAAGACAAGAATATTAGGTGCAAAATGTTTTTACAGCATTTTTCTGGAAAGGAAACCCTGCCAAACCACCTCTCCTACATTTTATCACAGTAGATATAGTATATTTTGGTTGAGAGAAAGATCTGGCTCACCAGGATATCACGGACTCGGTTTATCTTGCCAACTGAGCACATTTACTATTGCTCAGACCTTATATTGCTGATTGAAGGAGCCAACAATTTGTCATATCTGCAAGCTGGGCACTACTGAAAGATTACACTAGGTCACTTTTGAAAAAAATGAGAACAAAATTCAGTTTTCTAGTAAGACGGGACTAAACCTTGTTCACTGAGCAGTGTCATTGTTCATGCTGTATGTCATTACTCTTCTAATCTTCTAATACCCCTTTGCCAGTGTCTGAGAAAATCTGCAAAAACCTGATTCCTGACATTCCACTAACATTTCACAGATTTATTTATAGAAACAGTAACATAAATTGTTCCTTACAGTATGAATTTAGTCCCTTTTCTCAAATCAAGAATGGCTTTGCTAGCGGATTTTTTCTTCCCATGTTGGGTAACTGAAGTGCTGTTTTTGAGAACCGTTTGTGGTAGAGTTTGCCTGTCTAAAAACAGAGTTACTGTCTACACAGGGTCAAACTATGACTTAAAAACAGTAAAGCATGGTTTTATTTGAAGATACAACCATACTTGTAGCTGGGTGTCTCATCCTCACTTTTATTTTGGCAAACACCTCAAGATCTGACATTTTTTGAGAATGCTCCAACTCAAGAAGTATCCCTGAGCTCTCTCCCAGAAAGCATCAGACCTCCTCCCTTCATTCCCACGTGGCCAAAGTGAGATGATTTCTCTGAACACAAGAAGCAAGTGACATCTAATGAACTTATCTAACGAGTGAAAAACAAATTCAAATTGATCTTTCTAATAAAAGTTCAAGGTACTGTTATTGTGAAGCAATTTGCCTTTGACTTACTATGATGTTCATAGCCATGGCAGATACAGGAAGCAAAGGATTCGTATCTCCACAGTGAGCATGTCCTTCTCAATCAGCCTTTAGGGAAATCATTAGATGAAACTGAGGTAGTCACATTTAGATGAAGGTGAAGGAATGAAGCTGCCTATCAAAACTTGTAATAATAAGGCCTATTTGTACTTACCAGTTTGCACTGTGGGTGAATCCTCTGTTCTTACACAGCTACTTAAACTGCACTGTTTATAGTTTTGTCTTCCCTATAGTCCCAATGGGTAATACAGATGAAAACACCCTGCAATAACACGGATCTTGGACAATATCAGAACGGGATTCAGACTCGTATTCTTGCCAGGCTGCACTGGCATGGTGGAGGAGCTGTGCACATCTACAGTCACTTAGTTTCCCCAAACTACGAATCATCCCTGATCTTCCTTGCCCTGTGATCGTAAATCCAATCCCCATCTACCCCATGTGCTGTTGCAAACAGGGACCCACGCTTGTTTTCAGGCACAGACACATGCCCCGTTGACCAAGGCACTGTTGGATCCTATAGACCTTTGGTTCTTTATGCTCTGGGACACATGAACCCTAAGAAAGTCCTGTCATGGGTCAAGACTTTGCTTTAGCAGTTGTGACTGTGCTACACCCAAAGTTCTCCTGCCTCATGTTTCAGCTTCTCCCTCCTGGCCTCTTCCTCACCAAGATTCATGAATACAGGCAGTGCAGACCTTCATGCTTGCTGATGTTGGGCTGATCTCCAGCCCTGCCAGGTACCTGTTCAGCACAAGAGTGCTTTGCTCTGCCCCAGGGTGAATCCCAGGAGCATTTTTGTGCTCTGCAGGCACAGGCTGCACATAAGAGAAGGAGCTGATGCCATCAGGGTTCCTTCCACCTCTTTCTCCAACAGCTCTGTCTTTACAACAGTCTGAGCCGAGATCAGACACTGTATCAGAGAGCTGGGCTTGAGTGAGGACAGGTAAACCAGCTGGGATGGGCAGGGGGAGAGCATGCACCAGGTCCAGTGTCATATACCACTGGAGATGGAGAAGAGGCAGTCTCTGTCAGCCACAGCCTCCTGCCTCATCAGTGGGCTGCTGTGGACACTACCAATGCTCTATCCACTTTTTCCAAGGTCAGTTTCTGTCTTCTTAGGAAGATCATATTGCCTGAAGCAGAGTAGGGAACCAGCAGGAGGCAAGAGAAAACATCCCACAGTCTTCTCAAAAACACCTTGCCCTCTCCTGGCCATCCAGACATGTATTTGTTGCCAGAGAAGTTGTTCTGCCACCAGGACAAACTGCAGCTTTGCTAGCCCTGCTGGATGAAGTAAATTTGCATGCCGTAGTGAGCAGCACTGAGCTGGCTTTGCTGGGCCTCAGCGCCAACCCGTCTCTCCCCTATTCCCAGCTTACCACCTTCTCCCATCCACTTACCGCCGCGTGCCTTCCCTGCTCCTCCTTAGCCTTGCTTCCAAATCTTGAGGAGGAAAGGGAGATCCTGACTCTGGCTGGGTCTTTGCAGCAGACATCACAGGGCAAGTAGCCTGGGGAGTTGCAAAGTAATGAGTTACTGCCAGTCCATATGACTTACAGAGGCCACCAACTTGGTAGTGGTAACCACTGGTGCAGAGGTGCTCACCTGAGCCGCAGATGAGGTGTTTGCATGCCGTCATGGTTCCAATTGTGGCAGCTCAGAGAAGTGCATCCACATCAACAGAGGGGAGAAAACCCCTCTGTGTCACTGTGTGTATCACCAACGCTGGCACAGAGGATTGTATACCGCTCCTCTACATCACGTGGAGAATGCATCCACATCTTACTGGGGATGGGAAAGTCAGTACAGGAATCTGTCCTATTTTTTCTGACTATAGTGATTTATAGGCTTGAATTTATCAGGTTTGAGGAAGGGAATTGGGAGTAAACTGTAACCAAAGCAGCGAAGTTGTAATGCTCTTTGATTACAGAATGGGCTGAACTTCAGACAGCGCTGTACAGACACTTCCATTGACTGCCACTCATTCTTTTATTGTATTTTTTCTCTTACTGATGCCTCTGTGGTGTAACCAGATCACTTACTCTCCATTTTTCAGACAGTAAGTTAGCAAAGGAAGCCAATGTAGTTGATTAATGAAATTCATTAATCTGAGAACATGAAACCTAGAAGAAACAAAGAACTTAAAGTAAATAAACTTCACATTTTTTAAATTTATTTATCCTTTATTTAGTAATAGCACCCAAAGCTGCATTATATTAACACAAGTAATAAAGCTTTCATATTTTACTCCTACCAGTGCATTTCCAAACCCAGGTGAAATGCTGGAAATAAGTAATGCTGCCATACTATGAACACAGGGTGTAGATCACAATGATTACACAACTTACAAGTGAATCCCAATGTAATAAAATAAAAAGTTGTAGTTTAGGTACAAAACCTGTAACCTAAGAACTGTGGCCATTTCTATTTCCACAAAGTACCATAACAAAACAGCTGCTGTAGGAACTATAAAGATAACATACTTAATCATACTTTTTGCATCACTTTATTGAATAATCCATGTTGGATGTACAACTTACAGCTATAGTGTGTGATGGCTACAATGATACAAGGAGAATGTGTATTGCTTGTATTACAGAAAGGGTCGTGAAATGTATGGACCTGTCTGCATATTTAACAAAATGAAACAGCAATACAATAAAACTGCACCGCATGTGAATATTGTAAAAGGTTAAGTTATAAAGTCATTCATTCACAAATCCAAATGTTTCAATGAAAAAAAGTATATAAAATGTAGTAAAACATAAATTACATTTAAAGGTCTGTACATGATTCATCCTGCAAATAGAAGCACAAAACCAGCACTTTGTACAGTATTGCTTATTTTGGTCTTCTAAAGTTCAAAAATTCATTTTCACTAAAGAGGCAGGAAAAAACATGGTTTCACATGCAATCCAGCAGTAATTGCGGAAAATCAAGTAAGTCTATAACCCCGCACAAAACCCAACACTTTTGCAATGCAGGAACATACATGTGGAGCCCTTTTCTATACTTGATAACCAATATGCAATTAAAGTTGGATTGTTAAGTTAGTGCACACCTACAATATCCCCTACAATATCCCCATTTTTGGTTAACAGTGTATTAAGGCTGCTTGCTGCTGAAAATACACAGCAGAGAAGGAATACTTTCATCCACAAATGCAGTCAGACGATCTCATTTTGAAGCTTCTGTCACAGTCATTCATTGGGAATGATGAAAGCAAGCCATCCTCTCTCCTCTCATGTTATTCCACAGGATGTTGTGGATGCTCTAAGTTTACGTGGGTTCAAAATCATTTGGATAAATTCATGGTAGAAAATTCCACTGAGAGCTATTAAACAGAAAAAAAATCCACTTCTGGCTAGGGAAGTCCCTAAGCCACAAATTACTGGAGGCTGAGGAAATACCCCGGGGAAATTCTACAAGGGAAATTGCCCTTGCAGTCTTCCCTGGGCAGACATTAGCAATGGCCTTTCAAGACATGCTACTGGGCTGGACAGACCCATGGTCTTACTCAGCAAAGCCAATTTTATGTTCAGTTTCCCTACTTGTTATCACAATACAAACACGGATCAGTATTCTCAACTTGTTATTTTTTCAGACTCAAAAAGCAAACAACAATCTCGTGTCCATTATATCAAAGAGATAAATACTATAAACTAAGCTGTCCATCACATCCAGGGCACTTCTTTATGCTCAGAGCAATTCTGCAACCATAGTTGGATTCCTTTTTGTGTTATTGGTTTAAGCATAATTCACTAACATTACACTCACATATCATGATATACATGATGTGCAATGCTACTCTGCAATATGTTGCACAGCAACAGTACATAACCGAAAAGCAGCTTCCCTCAAGAACTGTAGGACAGTAAAAAAAGATTAAACCCAGCTATTCTATACCATCATATTTGCAAAATCTGATGGCGGCAATGGTCAATAAACCTGGTATATCATTACTGCTGCACTTTACATGGGTATAGGTTTTTTAGTTTTGTTTCTTTTAGTCAGATCAAAATCACTGCTATTAAGCCTAAGGATCTACAGTCTCCATGCATGGAAGTGATGTGAAATTCTTAGTAATGAGGGCAGATTCCTTAGGCTTCTGATTGAATTTCTGCTTCGTCCATCTGAAGTGTGTCATTATCACCCAGCAACTCTGTTTCAGGCACAGAGCCCTCCTCTTCCTCCTCCTCCTGGACGGGATTCTGGGCGATGTCTTCTGTTCCATTGTGCGTGTCATCTGTGCCCTCCGAGAGCAGAGCAGCCCTGTCGGCCACCGACGCATTGGAAGGCGCAGTTGTTACGTAGCCTGTGCTGGTGGATCCGCTCCCACTGTGGTGGGAGCCTGGTTTGGGAATGATCTGGGGAGGCATCTGCTGAGGAGCCATTTGCATTGGAATTTGGACGGGGTAAAAATTTGGCAAGTAAGCACCATAGGCAGGCATTGGCTGGTAACCATTGACTGGAATGTAGAGCTGAGGAGGTGGGACCATCGGTCTCATCTGCCCTTTCATTTGTATGAACTGCGGTTGAGGGAAAGCTGGAGTTTTCTGCTTTGGTCCAATGTACCTAGCATTGCTGACGTTGCTAACTGGGCTTGTGCTGAGAGAACTTGTTTGCGTGGTGTTGCTTGCTCCAGAGGTTTGCGCTGAACTGTTGTAATTAGAAAGGTTTCCCCATGTTCTTAGCCTGTTGTGTATATCTTTAAATCTTGGTCTTCTGTTGGGAAATTCATTCCAGCACTCCAACATCAAAGTGTATATCCATGTGGGGCAGTCGTCAGGACATGGCAAAACCTGTCGGTTCCTGATCATCTCGATGACATCCTGGTTAGAATAACCACAGTAAGGCTGCAGGCCATAGCTGAAAACTTCCCACAACACAACTCCATATGACCATATATCTGAATCAATAGAAAACTTGCCATACATAATAGCCTCAGGGGACATCCACCGGATAGGAAGAAGGGAATTTCCCATCAGTTTGTAGTAATCAGCAGCGTAAACTTCCCTGAAAAGGCCTAAATCAGATATTTTCACATTCAGTTTATCAAACACCAGTATATTTCTAGTGGCCAAGTCCTTATGGACAACGTGGTGGCTTGAAAGATACTCCATTCCTGCAGCTATCTGAGTCACGATGTGGAAAAAATCTGCTGGTTCCAGGGTGGATTTTACTGTCTTGTCATCGTCAGTGCTGCCAACATCTGAATGGGGAGATCTCATCACCAAGAACTCATGGAGGTCACTGTGGGAACAATAACTAAAAATCATGCTTATGGGTTGTTCCTTTGTCACTATTCCCAGCAAACAAACAATGTTTGGGTGCTGTAATCGTGATCTCATCATTGCCTCATGTTTGAATTCTTCCCGAAGAGCCAGTTCTGCTTTGTCTTTAAGTGTCTTGATAGCAACAGCTTGTGTCTGTTCACCTGGTGCTGTACCAAAGAGATGCCCCTTGTAGACTTTGCCAAATCTCTCCTCTCCTAATTCCTCCATAAACCGCACAGTGGACAGATTGATTTCTTTAAGTTTAGCCTGAAATGAAGTAAAGAAAGTAAGTCAGTAAAAAAATCACAATATTTTCTAAACAACAGAATCTCTTATTAAAGAAAAGTTCCCAGTGGTTAGCTGCTCCAAATGGAAGATAAATTGGGTCAAAATTACTTTTCAGCTTTTTGTATATTCATATCAGTATATTGATTTTACAGTTAACCTTGAAATGAGTTATACTATTATCAGAAGTGTAAATTGAATTATGCTGCAAGATGATGAGTATAATTATTTTTACAAAGGAGCAACCATATTTCCTGCAAGCTAAATGAATAATTGGTTCAGAGTAACTCTGGCAAATGATGAGCTCTATTAACTGGAGCTGCACTTGCCCTACAGATCAGCCCAGAGGTGTCCACTGGAGATCTGTCAGAAAAGCTGTGGGCACTGGCTGAGGAGGTGGCAGCCTCCGGGTGAACTGAAACATCCCTTCCAGCAGAAGGAGGAACAAAATCTCTCTCTTTCAGTTCTGCAGTAGCAGATATGTCCTTTCTCCTCCATTGCACTGCAGGAACAGCCCCTGCCTGTGGGTAGCAGTACACAGTACCCCCACTGAGAAACCTCACAGTAGCTCTCATGAAGAGGGGGGTGGAAGAGGAGCAGAAGGAAGAAGGAATATCCCTCTGCTACGTGAAGGAAAAGGTGGCAAAGCCAAGAGTGAGAAATCCCCAGAGACTCCTTCCTACAGCTGGCAGGAAAAGCAGGGGAGTTTGTGATGGTGATCTAATGGGTTCGTCCTGACCAGCGTGGGCTGGAGGAGTCCCTGACCGAGCCAGATGCAGCTGGCACAGCTTCACATGCAGGGCACCACAGCAGAAAGGAGCAGGGCAGGCTGGAAAGAGGCTTTAACAGGTGATTTGGGAACAAGCTCTTATTTTAGTGGCCAACAGACTGTGGACTGGACCAGACAGTTTCCTGCACAGCCCAGACTCAGCCACTAAACTTTCCCCTTATCGCACAAAATCAATGCAATGTGTTACAATTGGTAATATCCCACAAATATTCTACAGTTTCCTAAACAGATGTTGCCAGTTGTTCCAGATTGAGCATTGTTTTTTAGAGCTTGCATCTTGTAAATGCTGTGATTAAAAATTCAACATTAGCTCTGAACAGGATTTTAGCACAGAGATCAGTCAGTTGACCCAGAAAATTGTATGCAGGAGCTGAGATTTGTAGACAGAAGCCATTTTTGTTTCACCGTCCTTTGTGATACACAGCCTTAGAAACATGTTGCACTCCGGCTCAGCTACCCCCTCAGTGATGGTTCAGAATACCGGCAAACTGAGCCGACAGATTAGACAAGAACCCCCACTGTGCATCCTGCTTTAAACAAGCAAACCGGCTGCATCATTAGCAGAAGCAAAAATGAGCTGCAGGCTGAAGACTGGATCAGAAACAACAATTCTAGTCACTGAGACAACAGGCAGAATGGGGATTGACAGGTAAGGGCAAATGTCATAAAATACTTTGTCCTGAAAGCTCTTGCCCAAGACCAGGATTTCTAGGTACAGCTAGAGAGTGCAAGACCTGGTTTTCACTGAAGGAGATGGTCAGCACAGTGTGAAAATTAGGTCCCTCACAACACAGCTCAATTCGAACATCATCAGTTTGAGACACTGAAAATCACACCACTTTGGAAATATGTGGCCTAAGCAAATTATGGAAAAAAATACCTGTTTGTGTTGATTAATGAGTGGCATTTCCATGTCCTGGCTAGGAGATGCCATCAGCTGGCGCCTCTGTGGTGTAGCAGCAGATGCCTTCTGCTTGTTTCTGCACATACAGACCAGGAAGAAAAGGCAGGCGATAACCAGAGGGATGGCTATGCTGGGAACCAGGATGTAGAGGATTCCCATTTTACTGTTGTCACGTGGACCTGTCAGGCACAGACATGTTCATATTTACAATAGGTACTTCTAATGCATTCAATAGTAAAGCAAAAAAACCCAACCAAGCAAACAACCAAACAAGAACAATTTGTGATTATTTTGATTATTAATACTACATTTTAAACAAAAAGTAAACTCATATAGCTTGAAAACAGAAGCCACATTACCCTCTCCCCCTTGTCCATAATTTTCCATTAAATATTTCAAAGAACTTCGAATGGACATAGCAACTAGCAGTATTAAGATAAACTAGAAGCTCCACATTTAATGTGTTGACTGTAACATTATGCGGTTTATTTCACTTTACTTTTGAGGCTTCTGGTTATGGAAACTGCAGAACATAGACCAGAGTATCATTGCATTATCTTGTTCAAGGGATAAAAACCAAGTGAGTAGTCTTCATCACAGTATATAAACCAGTGAACTCAATGTGATAAACTGCTGCACAACATTGCAGTCTGGTTTTCTCGCCCAACTTCAGCCATTTCATCAGCATATTGCTCACTTTTTACGTCCACTGGTACTACTTCCGCCCAGAATAAAATAAATCTCACTTCGTGCTGCCAGAGTTATTATTTGTTCTGTACTTAATAGAATTATAGTGCTTTTATGTTACAGTGAGACAGACATGAAAAAGCAGTCAATGCACTTAATAAGACTGTTCTGGAACCTTACTAAAATGTTTTTTTTCTTGATACTTAGAGACTTTAGGAAAGCATAGTGATGTCCAAAATGTTCATTGGAACTGTCTGGGATGTTTTCTGCAACCCGTGGTTTTGTATTTGTGGCTACTGCTTTCACCACAACCACTTCCCAGTGTTATCTTTACACCGTGCTACATGCAACACAGAAATTTATTATAAATGTCAAATCATGCTACTGTAAAAAAGTGAAGTAACTAAGAAATTTCATATCAATTTTGAGTGCTCTTAAATATCCAGGCAATCTGTAACAAAACCACTTTTATGTGTTCCACAGTACATCTGTTGCTGCAGGAAACATGCTCTTCTTCCTAGTGAAGCATAGTATTAAGATGCTTTGTCATGTCCAAACACTGTTACCACTGTAACAGCTCTAGAGTGTAGGCTGTGCCAATACAGGAAAGTGAGTGGGACAGTATTAAGCTGCAAGAGCTGTGCTTTTTATTTTTGCTATCAGTTGGGCAGTACAGAGCCACTAGCAGATAGTGTAGGACTTTTTGGATAAGATCATCTGTTTCATGACATCTCTGCATCTGCATGTCACACATTTTCCTTCCAACCAAGGATGGTGCTGTATCTCCCTCTACAGGATCTGAAAATCCTTGCTGCCTGAAGATGCCACACAGAGCAAAAGCAATATACAACTGAGTAGTGTGAGCAAACCAAACACATACAGGTGATAAGTACGTCTTCTGGCATTTGACAAGTTAGAATGCAAACTGCATCAGTATCATTAATTATTACCTCAGTTTAAGCACCCAACACATAATAAAATATGTCACAATATCTCAGTTACAAGCTCTGATCTCCAGAAAATATTAAAACGCCTACAACACAAAACAAGGGAGCTTCATTACAGCAAATGAAACATTTGAAAGCATAACCCTCCTAAGTGAATTGTAAAACCAGGGAACATTCAACATTACACAGGATTCAGGACAGTAGTAGGGAAAAAAGAAAGAGAATACATACTACAAGAAGGTATGTCACACAGTTCCATGCGTACGTTTTTATTCTTTGTAAAACACCATGGCCCATCCATCTGACCGCCGGGATTTCGGCAATACGCATGACCTCCACCTAACTCTGGAAACTGTGTGCTTGTCAGATCATGGCTGTGGGGACTCTGGGAGTCCCAGAGTTGACAAGAGTGGCCAGACTTTGTAACGCTGACCGTCCCTCTGTAGTCCACTCCAGAACCGTTGTAGCACTGGTGATCTGCAACAGAGCATTTAACAAAGTGTAGCAAATGAGAAAGCAACCAAGGGCCAGCAAGACCAAAAGGCTTAACGTGCATAGACCATGTATGCAAAAAGTACTTGAATTTAGGTACTTCAGGGTTTAAATGAAAGCTATGAGGTTTGAAATTTCAGTTCTGCAAGTATCTGTACCTTTACACCCAGTTATTTCTGGATTCTGCCCTGGAGCGTCTCAGCTCTACGGCTATATACAGCAATATTTGGTAACTCTGAATGCAAGTTGGTACTGAGCATGTGTGGACCTTTAGACACAGGACGAGATAAATGGAACTAAATGAGAGATACAAGTTTCACTTCAGGAAAAGTCTTCAGATGCCAACAGTGTAAACCTTCCACCACTTTTATTTCTCATAATCTTCCTGTCTTCCTCACACTGCTCACTTCTTAGAGAAATTAGTGCTGTATTTCCTAAAGCTTCTTGCCAATTTTTCCTTATTTTCATCTTTAGAAAGAAGGGATTCAGGCTTTTCATCTCTTTAGACACATCACTTTCATATCTGCTGAAATCCTATCTTTATTCTCTTTCTGCTCTGCTGCTATCATCTCCTCATAATTTTTGAGTGCTTGTCTCCCATATGAATCACCTGAACTGAAGCATGTATTTTTCCATATGTTTGCAACATTACCATCTCCATTTTTCCAAGTCAGCGCTCTCAAACCCCTGCCTCTGAACCCCCAGGGTACTCACACCACGGCTGCTCTGCCAGAGGGAGCACCGCTGGCTCTGAGGGTCACAGACAACTTTTGCAGACTTTTGTTTTTATTCTCATTCCTTTTGCTTGATACATCTTCCCTGTCTGATTTATCTCTGTCATAGTTTTCTCAGTTATTTCTGCTTCTCAACCACACTAGATTATGCCTTATTAGCACACAGCTAGTCTTTCACGCCCACCATTATGCCATGAGCCCTGCTCCTAACTGCAGGGTCAGACAATGGATATTCAGAATAATCTTATCACACTTTGAACTTAAAAAAACCCATTTTTAGTCTCTTGGAGCTTCTTTGTTGAACATTGTAAGGGGTGGTGACTAATCTCTAGGAAAATGGAGTAGGCAGAAAAATTGTCAGCACATAATTAGTAACAACAAAACAGCCCTGCTACTCCTGGATGCAAATATAAATTCACGGAAGCAAGATCAGTGTTTTCACCCATCCTGTGTGTGTGAAGAAAGACAATTACACTCCATGCTCAGTTTACAGGGTTAATATTCTCGTGGATTTCCATATAGAAAGAATGAACATTAAATGTTTAATTTCGTAACAGATTTTTCCAGTGAAGCTTCCACAGCCTGTTTGAAGTTTATTGATAGGTAAACAGAACTCACAAATAGGTGTATGGGGGGGACTCATCCAGAAAGGCAAGGATTGAGCCAGAGTTAGGGGCAGGCATGTGGGAAGCGAAGTCTGCAATGCACTGCTGCCCCTCGCAAATCTGAGCCAAATCAGTTGTGTGAACACAGTTTTATAGCCAAGGGTGGTTCATATAACCCTTTTCAGTACTAAGTAGCATCCCGTAAACTTCCTCACCATCCTAACTATACCTCACAACAGTGCAAGATTATGGTCAGTATTAATGTGATAAAAAGTAGTAGTGTCCAGTATAGCATTTACAAAAAGAATGACTGACAAAATATCGTCTCTGAGTCCCAACCTGAGGAAGAAACAAACCCTACTTTTTCCCAGTGATGAAACACCCAGACTTACATCGGCTCAGTCTCTCCACAGGGATCCCGATCCTTATGCAGTTGGCAGCTTCCAAGGTGTCAGGTCGTGGGAGATCCTCACACTTAGGCAACTGTAGCTGCATCAAGATGAGGGGGTTTGACCTAGCGATGTTGTACTCCTGCCTACAGAGATCATTCTCCAGAACTTCACATTCATCCCGGCAAAGCTCTCGTGGCTTAGGGGTCCGAGAGCGCTCGTCACACAGGGGAAACACAAAGTGGCAGAAGGATGGTATAGCGAACTGTGAGCACTGATCCGACAAATGTGTGGAAGTACCAATCATGGTAAACGCAGCTGGAAAGGAACAAAAATGGTGCTTAAGTATGAATTCACAAAAAGCAGGAGAAACAATGTAATTTTCATGTCATTTGCCTTTTACAACTTCCATCTTTTCTTGAGGGTCTGAAAGCCTACTGAGCAGAGGGAAATGAGGTTATTTCTGCTGTAAAGGAGAGTTGACAAATGCAGAGAGAAAACGCAGTGTGCCTCTGGAACCTGCACAGACCTTGCAGGACCTCAGTTCTTAGGAAGTACCCAAATGACTAGCAAACTGTTGATGTTTGACTAATTTTCCCTTGAAAGGATAAAGAGCTAAGGCAAGATACACCTGCCAGCATGCTGACATATATTTCCAAAGTTCCTAATTAGACAAAATCTGAATGAGGATCACCTAGCTTCTTCCTCTGGTAGACATTTTGATCAATAAACAAGTGTTTTTCAAGTTTTGACAGGCAAAAGGAAGTGTGCCATCGGTATTTGGGGAGATAATGCTATTAATGTACATGAGAAGCCTAACAGGCAGCAGTTTGGGGAAAAATGAATGTAATCAATCTAGCATGCTGCTCACGTTAAGATGAATGTCATAATGAATTAGGAACTTAATCCTCCCCTTCAGGTCTCAGCATCTACACACTAACATTTATCTGAGAGTTTTCTTGCACATTGCAAAGAAAGACAAATGTGCATGTGCAACATGTATCAGGGGATGAATCAAGCTTTCAATGTAGGAATATTCATTCCCACACCGGAAAACATAATTTGTAAGTGAGGCTTGCTAGACTGCACATTCCACCAATGCACACTGTAAAAAGAGAGGAAGTTAGCAGTTCAAGTCATTCAGCAGTCTATTTACAACCTACAAATCAATTCTTTCCCACTTGTCTAGCTCTCTCCTTTCAACCATCTACTCCCTGCTGCCACCTGCTATCAGAGAGTCTCGTCTCTTCCTAAACACCACACATGCAGCAAGCAGCTCCAACTCCAGCCTTTTGTACTGTTTACACCTTTACTTATTTTAACACAGGAATATTAACACAGGAATATAGGGAACACTGCATGCAGGCCTCAAAAGATAGCTGTGAAATGTGCTTGTCCCGAAGACTAAGGGGAAAAATTAAACCTGGAGGAGTGAAATGGTTACTCTTGGCTATTTGAAACACCAACTAATTTTTGTGAAGACATTACATAATTTAGATTGGCATGAATGAAGAGTGCACAATTCACAGTCATGTCCTTATTTTGATGGGAGGCGCAAAAGCCAGAAGGACTGTGTGGTGGCAACTAAGGGGTTTATTTTTTTAATTATTAAACAGCACAGCAAAGATACTGCTAGTCACATATATCCACAGATCAGGGGTCAGGTTTTTTTTTGGCCTTCCAGTCTTTTAAGTCATGCCTCAAGTATTTGTTCGGAACGGTCCTTCGTTTTTGAATAGAAGGCTGCAATTCTCACCTAACCACATGGCCAGGACTGAACAGCACCAGGGGCTGTAGATGCAAAAGGAATGTATTTCACACATCAGCACAGCAGGAAAATGAAAATCCAGAATGAAAGTTCTCGATAAACGTTGCCTGTGACCTCGTGAAATGTTCTTGGATTTGGGCAGTAGGTGTCACCGTTTCCCAAGCACAGCCTTCCCTGAATGCCCTACGGCTCTCAGCACAAAGACCTTCCACCAAAAACTGCGCTTAGGAAGTACGGGCAAAAGTATAGGCAAAATCTCAGCAGCAGTTTTACAGCAGATTCTTGCAATACTTGTTTTACATATAAGAAGACTCATAAGAACCAAGTATGCTGTGAAATACTAAGGGTTATTTTGGATAAGGCATTTGGTATGTCCTTCATGTGCATATAGTTTGAAAATGCTCTGTTATTAAAGGATTATCATTACTGCCTAGCTAGGCACTCGGCAGCTCTACATGGTGGTTTGCAGAATTTTCCTTAAAAAAACCCAGTTCCATCAGAAATTCTGCTCAGCTCCAGGACAGAGAGTCCCAACCCCCAGGCTCCAAAATGTAACTGATCATCAGTGGTATTAGGGATCCAGCAGCCAGGTCATGAATGTCCATGGTGTATATTCCAGAAACAAGTGTAACTTAACCAATAAACATTTCCTGGAAGATATGACAATTTTTTGTTTGTGGTTTTTTGTTTGTTGGTTGGTTTTTTTTAAAAGGACATTATGAACCTAATTCGCAGAGTTACACATTTAATCATTTCAGACAGCTGAACATTTCCATGTTGCTGAAAAACATCCAAACAGGATAGAAATTGTATCATAGAAAAAAAAATTGAATTAATAGTATGAATTAATTAATGACATCATGATAAAAGAGGCTGGAATAACACCAGTGTCCAGGAGAAAGGAGGGAGGGGAATACGTCATAACAGCACAAGGAAAGGTCAGCACCTGGATTTTGCCAGTCCCAGAATCCCAGAATCACCACTGCAAGAATGGAAAAAACCTGACCTGGATTTCTGGCTTGACAATGAGCCTTTAAGGTAATATCTTTAAGGAGATAGAGCTCACAAGGGAAGTCAACTTTTTGGCAACTAGTTATGTTAAAATTGCAGATTCAATTAGTTAGCCATATCTGGCCAGATGCAAATAAGCTCCTGCTGGACTGGGTTATTTGGTCATACATGACAATAAACAGTTTGCTCTGTTCCACAGATTCATTTGCTTGCTCTGCTTGTGTACATCAGAGTCACAGCTGCTAATGTTGGCTAACTGAGTTCCAGTGAAGAAAATCCATGTTGATGTACAGCCCAGCCCACTAAAAGTCATTAAGGTTTTGGATGCATGTTTTTGTACCAAAATGATGATCAGAGAAAGGATCAGCAAGGGCAGAGCACAGGAAGGCTGACTCTTATTTTATACAAATCAATGTGAAATCCAGACTCTGCTGGGATTACATAACAGGGGAGAAAACCCCAGGGAAACGCCACCATACATTTTTCAAGAAAATAAAAACCCAGTAATTTTTTATTACATCACAAATTGATTTTTTTTAATAAATATTCCCTTTGACTCCATCATGCAAAAAGCTTCAGTATAAACTACAGACTGTTAAAAAGTCAATGCTCTGACATTCTACTTAAGGACATGGAAAAAGCTTCTACACATGACAGCAGATATTCATCTTTGCTCCAATTTTGCTAACTGCGCAAGTGCGAAACTGGCTCACCTCCTCTAAACCTTAATATAAGGATATCTTAGTCACTGACCAATGAAACTGAAAAGGATGATAGCACCATTTGTACCTGAATTGTGTATTTTCACAAATGTTTTTTGCCCTGCTGCAGACATGTATAAGCTTACCAGTAATTCGGTTTTCAATTTCCCCTTGCATCTGGAGGGAGTCCACATAAATGGTCCTGTTTCCAATGATTCGTGCACACGCAATTCCCCTGTATGGCTGACAGAACCCGTCTTCATGGTAATCTTCTCTGCAAAGGACAGGTTAGGATTTTATAAGCAGAAGTCTAGCTGTCCCCAATGAATTTTTACAAAATATATTCTTATAAAAGGAGAAAAACCCAAAAGACTGTAAATCTGAAATCGTTCCATTCCCCAGGTGCAGCTTTCTCCTCCAATTCTCTCTGCACTACCTTAGAAGTATTAATGAGGCACCCTGTAAATCACTCATTAGAGAAAGAAGTAAACTGAAATCAAAGATTAATTTAAAAATCATATGCTAATAGTAATGGGATTTGACAGATGAGTCTATTAAAAAGCTGTTAGACTGAGACAGCAACTAGGTATTGTTACATGTGCCCATGCATTTTTGACATCTAGCTACACCTAGTACAATTAGGCAAACAGTTGGTTCTCTTTTCCTCCCTCCCTCCCCTTTTCTTCATTTCCTGTAGTGAACAGCAGAAGAGACATCGCCAAGCTTTAATTAAAATAATTCAAAATAATTTTGAACTCTGAATTAGGTAAACAGAATAAAAAGCAATCAAGGTTTTAACCTCTTTTCCTCTTATCTCTAGTCAGAGTCAATGTCAAATTCCTCTTCCAATATGTATTTTAATACATTTTTCAATTCAATGAAGTTTTGGGCCAAATTTTGCTCCCTTACATCAACATAAATATTTTGGCATAAAAGTGCTTAGCCTAAAGGCTCAGTGGTTCAACACATCATCCCCAAAGCCCCAGTAAATAATACAGAGCTGATCTGCAGATCATAACTGAGCACTGAAAAGGGGCTTCAGAGGAAGAGTGCTTGTGTGTTTCCTCTGGCACGGCACAGCCTCTCTGCTAGAATTCACTAGCCTGATGGATTCACATCACATCATTCACTGCAGGATGGACCAAAAAAAGCTATAAAACATAATATAGAAAACCATGACTCTTGAGTAATCCTAGGACACCCAAAAGCTTGATCAGTTTCTGCACCTAAACAGTCAGTTCAAAAGTCGAAGGTACCTCTCCCATACCAGTGATTTTTTAAGTATTACTTCAATACTCTTCTGCAACTTTGTACTTTATTATCTTTGGGTATCAATACCTGTTTTGGTCACCCACTTCTCTTACAAATACCTTAGCATACCACATGAGCAGGACAAAACTGTCAGTGAATACGTGTAAAACCACATAACTTCAGCTGGGCCAAATCAGCACGAAAACCTGCTGCCTGACTACAGCTAGCCATGATGAGCACATCACCCAACACCTATGCAGTGCTGAGTGCAGCCCGTTATTTCCCATATCTTATTCTGTCTTAGTAACCTCTTTCCATTTTTCCTCTGCTATGTCTCCCTGATAAAGCTCATCTCTTCAGGGAAATGTTACCGTTATTTCTGAAAGTATAAACTCTTTGGCAGTGGAAGGTTGGGCAGGATTGTCCGTACAGTATAGCCAAAAGCTGGAACCATCAATCACCACTCGAGCAGCATCCCTCTCTTTCCTCACAGAAAGACAATGACTTAATAGGACCTGATCCATCAAATAGCTGCTAGATAAACCATGGTGATATGAAGTGTCTCATGCAGTTGTTGTTCAGATCTGGTTTTTATTCCCTATCACAGTATGATTGTTAAATATTCATAAAGCATCATTTTCTCTACAAACTCTGAAACAAGTTCTGCTTCCACAAAGATATGTAAGTTTTTGATTATGGTGGATGAAGTAAAGGAGGAGTCTTCCTGGATCAGTTAATTCCTGCAGTGAAATTATTTCACTCTCATAACAAAACCTCCAATTTTGCAACAATTGCATCATGCCTGAAGGGGCAAAAATATCAAAGCATTTTGTCTATGCCTGTTTTATGATCCTTGACCACCTCAGTAGGAAGTCAGCAATTCCCATAAGGAACTGAATGAATATGAAACCCTTATTTGACCTCTTTCTCAAGAGTAAATTCATACCCCTATCCTGCAGAACAAAGTCTGCAATGTATTTGACTGAAACTGTACCTCACACTTCAACTCTCAGTGCAGGGCTCTCTTGCCAGCACACACACACACACAAAAAATCAATAAAAAATAGCACTCCAACCAGTATGAGTATGGTGACAAAAGCAGCGTGATCTCTTACTTAGCTCAGTTTATTTATTTCTGTCAAGAACTTCTAAATACAGCTTAGATACTATATATACACACATATGCTCCTCTCTCCCATGTTATAGTCAACTGCTGATTAAACTGAACTGGATATGCATTACCATGAATGCAAGCGAAAGTAAACAGTAACCTGATGTCAGATACTCTGACAGAAGCTGGGCTGTTATTTTACATCATTTTTGTCAGGTCAGGCAACTCAATGAATACAGTTTGATTAGTACTAGCGATCAAGGGGACAAAATTACATTAGTCTTCTTAGGAAAATTGTTAGAAAGCTCAGAAGTAGCAGCACATAGAGTCCCCTTACAGCTACATGTATGCGCAGCACATGGCAAAACATCTACAGCAAAAAGCAAGCTGGGGGGAATCTGATAAAACAGCGCAGGAGCAGCGTCATGCTCAGTTCAAACAAGAGTCTTTGGAGCCATGTGTAGCTTTGATTCGTACCCAAAACCATATGCCATCAATTCAGTTGCTGATCAGAGTAAGAATTAAAAGCTGCTGAAAATAGGCAGAAATACCAACTCCTCAATTTCCTGCTGCTTGAGCTGTAAAGTCTGCTCTGATCAAGAACCCTGGTAAAAGCAGAAATCTGACTCCACAAAAGGAATCCAGAAGAGTTCAATTTGTTCCACTTGCAGAAGTCCTACAGGCAAACTGCCATGGGTACTTTTCTACCTTTGTTCTTTATTGTTTCTTTCTGAGTGTTTCAAGATGGCATCACCTTTTCTCACTAGTGATTTTCTTACATTTTTATATAACTATTTTTTTTACAAAACAGAGTCAGGAACATCCTAAGTGCTGACATTCTTTTTTCACCTTTGCTGCAGGGCAGCACACCTGGAACGTGAATTTTTTCAGCACTTAATCAGAGTGGAGGTAAGGTATATTCTCCTACTGAGAGAACTCTCCTCCTAACTACTTGTCAGATGTTTGATCAGAGTTTGGATTTAAAAATAAAATCATACAGAATCTGACTGAGCACATACTCTATTTCTGAAACCCCAACTTCGATTTCTTAGGATGAATGCCACTAGTTTTCCAGGTCCAAAAGGTGATCTTCTGCCAGAACAATAAAGTTAAGAACTAGCCTTTCACATATAAAGCTAAAGCAGGAGAATCTTTTATTTCTGGCACACACAAATGAAACAAAAATATGGATATTACTTTTATGTACAACATGGAGTGTCTCTAAGTTTGACCAGGCTTACCAGGTCCGGAAATACCTTGAAGAGCCAAGCACTGATAAGACATTTACAAGTTCCTTATCACACATGCACTGCACCACCTGATTAAACACAGTCTGCATTCAGGTTTGTGGGCAGAAGTCTGTATGAAATGGAGAATTAACCAAACAAGCAATATAGAAGAAAGGTGTAGGTTCAGTGGTGCAGTGCCAGTTGAATCTCCTCCCACTGACAGAAACCATAACTTCCAGGGACATCTGTGTCTATAAAGGAAGCACTGGAAGAAGCAGGTACCTCTGAAGAGCAATAAAACATAGCATGCATGAATAGGAATCTCTCTAGATGGAGGTCATGCAAGACTTCCGTCTAGGCAGATATCTCCTCTAGGAGTATATGGAGAGATTTCTAGGTGTACTGCACGTGCTGGAAAAACATAGTGAACATTACCACCCTGCCATTATGCATTACTTTAATTTCACATGTGACACAGAAAGAACACCGAACAGAAGACTACAAAAGAAAAAACTGAGGAAACAAAGAGGCTTTTCTTAACGGAAATTCTGAAATGCTGAAAGAACACATCAGGGCACAATACACTGTATGATATCTATGTAACACAATCTATTGTATGCAACTGTCACAGCTGAACAGTCCAGAGGGCACAGGAAACAAAAAAGTCTCAGTAAATAAAAGACAGCTATGGAAACTCTGTTCAATACTAAAATCACCTTGTGAAGCACATAAGACTGATGAGAGCTTTCAGTATGTATTTAGTGCCCCTGAAAACAGTGAGTGCAGACCTAGTGGTTTGCTGAAAAACAGAGAAAACATGTGAAGGCATAACAATCTTTAGCACGGGTTCATGAAAGGAATTTTGAAAGCAGAGTTAAGAAGCACTAGATATTTATTTGCTAGTAAGATACCTTTTTTCTGATTGCATCCCACAAACTTAACTTACAAAGACAACAGAAACTTGTAAGTTAAATCTATTTTCCTGAAAATAGAAAAGACACAACACTGTGCATCAGCCATAAAAAGAAACTCTGAAATCCTCCAGAAAACTCAGAAAAAACCCTTCTTTGATTGAATACATTAAAAAAAGCACTAATTTAATAATACCCTACCAACCTATCCTTGTGATAAAATGAATAAAAATGTTATTTAAAGTTATAATTTGAGAACAATTTATTTTAATATATTCAAATAATAAATTTAGAAGTTATTTGGAGGTATACATCCTCAGCTTACGCTTCACCAAAGTAAACAATATTCCAGAGGTTAGTTTTTAAAAAAGATAATAGAAACTTTGTTACAGCGGTTTCCCACAAGCAAACTAAGTGCAGTTAAAATTTCCTATACATTTTCCCACAGCAAATAACAAACCTGAAGTTTTGACCCTCTTTCATATTGTCCAGGGATTAAACAGCTTTTAATTAAAACTGTCAAATACTAAGAGAGGATATTAGGACTCCCCCTCATATTCCATTACGAGTGGCAAAGCAAGGAAAAATGCACAGAAAACCATAGTTAGACAGTGACAAACAATGGAAATGACAAATGATTTATATCATCCTATTTGCTATAGGTAGACAAATACAACATTTGGTATATGGTAACTCATGTTGTGGGAAAGTTTTTTTTTAGAGCTACAGCTTGAAAACTGACGGCAGAAGCCATGTAAAGAGGATGATTATA